ATTTGTTCAAACTCGACTCATTTTAAATGAATCGAGCCCTAATCGAGATCAAAATGAGTCAAATCTGAGTAATTCGACTATTTTACACATAAACCAATTGAGATTTGAGAGCTTTACTCGAGCTTTGTAGGCTTGTTTTCTGAAAAATTCTAAGAAATTGTTTAAGCTCCTACCCGAACCGAGTCTAGTAGTTCGACTAAATTATAAGCCTTATTAACACGATACAAATATGATATAAAATTAAACGATTTGAGTATTCCTTGAACCAACTATTTTGTAAATGAGTGAACCAAACTCGATACAAATATGATACTAAATTAAAGGATTTGGGTATTCCTTAAACCAACTGTGTTGTAAATGAGTGGACTAAACTTGACACGATCAATAAACGAATTGGGTATGAGCGAAGTCAATCAAAAAAATAAACGACATGACTTGTATATATGCCACTTATACACAATTCATACACAACGCAAACCCGATATGATACGATTTATTAACACGAATTCATAAATGAATTGAATATGAGTAGAATATTTTTTAATATGAACTCACTAATATTTCTCACAAATCCGATTCACACCGACATGATTGACGGCCCTACTCCATAGTGACCAAAGTAGTCGTCTTGTGTTGTGTGGGTGCATTATTGTACAAAGAATGACCAAGATTTTTTTTGGGTAAGCATAAAAAAAAATGAGAAGACTATAACTTAGCACAAAAGGCTTTGGTTATTATGGGTTTGAGGAGCATCAAATTTACATAATTTTACCTACACATGCAAGAATGTTTTATCTAGGGCTCCAATAGTATGATGTCCAAATTGGAAAAAATCACTTCAAACAAGATGGATTCAGATATTATTATTATCAATTTCTAAGCTCAACTCTAGTAAAAGAGCCTTGATTTATCCTATGAATCTTTTTAATACGAATTCTATATTATAGTCATAAGTCGAAAAAACAAAATACATAACTCTAAATGATAACTCAAGTCATAATAGGAATAAGCTGTAAACTCAAACGTCATAAGTTCGAATCTTGATAATCAATTGAAGTTCAGTCATGAAAAATTTATTTCTCATGAATTTTATAATCCCAACATGTATGACCTACCTTCAAGTATACGTAAACTAGCTCATACAAAATAGGGGTAAGACTATGGCAGTAGATGAGGTATCAGACTGAAAAAATCCAACAGAACAGAGACAAGTTATAATTTGTTTGAGATTAGTTTACGACTAAAAGAGGCCGATTACAACTAAATAAAACAGAGATTGATCCTAGAACATAACAATCAACTAGAAAATGTTGGGATTGATACTGAAACGTTAGGATTGATCTTAGATTAGTTCATTTTAATTGTAATTTTCATAAAATTAGACCATAAATTCATTTATATTTTGTAGTAATAACTTTGACAGGGTATAAAGAAAGTATTAATATATTGGTACTTTAGTGTTGTCCATTTCGTGGGGGATGTGCTTCATCACGCAAATAATACCTTATTGTGCATGTGGGTTGTAGCATTGCAATTAAAGCCAAAATTAATAGGGAGGGGTCGTAATAATAGTAAAGCAGTTTCCCACCGACACCACAAGCTCACGTTATGCATGAGACCTTATTATTAGTGGAGGTTGTTTTCTTTCATGACTATACAAAAACTTTCAATGAGACACTTATTGATTGCCACGTGGGTTTTTCCTTTGTTTGTTGAGTAAATTTCGTTGACACTCCCTAAATTTAAGTCGTATTTCACTGACACACTTTCTCATTTTTGAAATATCACTCTAGTCCCCTGTCGGTTTTTATTCCCTAATAGAATATGCAATTTTACTAAATTAACCTTACTAGAACTCCTATTTTACTTAATTACCCTTGTTCAATTTAAACTTATTTTATATGGTTAAGGGTAAATTTGAAAATTCATAAGAGAATAAGCCATCACATCACCCTAGGGATAGTTTGTGAAATGTGTATATAAACTACAAGAGTGTGCAATAATATTTCAAAAACTAGAAGAGGTGTAAGTAAAGTATGACTTAAATTCAAAAGTGTGAGTGAAATTTATCCTTGTTTGTTTGTATCCGCAGTTGGTCTGTTGGGAGTAAATATTAGGTGCGGAGGTTATATTATGTCATCAATTTTTTATTTTTTTTTGTTTCTGGGTGTTTAAATTTGTACTGATTATTCTTTTGAATTTAATGATTGACTACCGTAGTTTGAACTGGGTTAAACCATGTCATCACGTGGACATAGTATTTTAGTCGCACAATTATGCAAAACAAGTGAAGCTTTGTGCGCGTACTCGCGCTTTGAGAGTGAATTTTTTGTAAATTCACCTCCTCATTCTACAAAATTCTTGAATTTGTGTTCCTATTTACTTATGTGCTTACTTATTATTGCTTAAATTTTTATTTGAAAAGTATGTACTCATACATAAAGATACATACCAAAAATAAAATTATATTTGTAGCATATAATTTCTATTTCAAGATCTTATAATCAAAACATATTTAGAAATTAAATAGTTTTCCATATCGCCGTGAATGAAATTTAATTTTTTATATTTAATTTGTATTAAATTTTATGGGTGAATGGTTGTCTTAATGTATATAATATGACGCTTTCAAGACACTTTTACTCTTAAATATTTTTGAATTTTGTCGTCTTTGCACTCCTGCTTCTGTTCTCGCTCTATGTGATTTTAAGTGTAACCGTTCAATAATAAGATAATAAATGGAAAATTGAGTCCCACAAAATTAAATAACTATGGGAAAATTTTAGTCACACCCCTTCTAATTTATTATTTATTCAAAAACACCCCATTTATTATAAAAAATATCACTAACACTCCTTCTACTTTATATTTAAACATTATTGACACCTTTTGTTATTAAACCAAATTTATAACAAAAATAAATAATCTAAAATACCAAAATTACCCTTGCATAAACCCTAAACAATCTTTTTACATAAAATTCGAGCCTATTAAATTTCATTTTTTTACATATTCGAGTTGATTAAAAAAAATTTCTATACATTAAAATTTGATCCGATTAAAATTCAATTCTGGTTGATTAAATTTTTTTATGTATTAAAATTCAATCCTATTAAAAGTCTTTGTTTATGTATTAAAATTCGATCCTATTAAAAGTTTTTTTTATGTATTAAAATTCGAGTCAATTTGAGCTCTATTTGAACTATTAGCCCCGATTAAAATTTACTTCAAGTCTATTAAAATTTATATTTTACTTATTAAAATTTGATTCAAGTTGATTATAATTTTTTTTTTACTTATTAGAATTTGAGCTAATTAAAATATATGTTTTTTTATGTATCAAAATTTGGGGTGATTAAAATTTAATATGAGTTGATTAAAATTTGATTTGAACCTCAAATAAAATTTCAATCGACTCAAATTTTAATACGTAAAAAAATATAATTTTTAATCAAATCAAATTTTAATTCATAAAAAATAAATTTTAACGAGCTCGAATTGAATTTTAATCGTTTTGGATTTTAATACGTGAAAAAATTTAGAAAATAGAGGGGATATGGTTGAAGATATGTCTATCTATAAGGGGTGTGGATGAATTTTTTTTCTAAAATCTATCTTAGACAATTTAATAAAATTGCATTATAGTTAACACCTTTAATCTAATATCGGTGTTAGCGAAGATTCAAAAAATAAAATGAGTGTCCTTGAAGATACGATAAACGAAAATGTGTGTGGCTCAAATTTTCCCAATAACTATTAGTCCACAATTCAATAATTACTTAATGTATAAAAGTGAGTTACATGTTATCTATTTAATTTTTTCTTATTGAATAATTACATTACGTGAAGATGATGACATAATATAATCATGACATCTAATATTTACTCGGTTGGTAAGGTGTTGGCCCTTTGTGTGGGGGTGGGGGTGGGGGTGGGGTTCCTATAAGACCAAGCTTGTCATTTAATAACCGAGAGTCCAACATGTGGTGTTATTTTTATGTTAAATCATTACGAAGTGGGTCATGGTTAATATCCGTATTGAACTTGTCTAGCCCATGTGGAGCGAATTAGATTAGTGAAATTCTAACCCTTCAACCCAAGTACTCCTACCATTGTCTTTACATAAAAATGGATTTGACTTTTTGTTTCCTAGATTCAATTCAAATATTTAAAAAAAATCCATTCAAAATTGAATTTTCTTCACTTTTGGAGTTAAATGAGCTATTCGGGCTCGGCTTAAACTCGGATCATTTTCTTAGTTTGCTCAATTTCATTCAATTTTTAATACAAGTTGAATATGACTAAAATTTTAGGCTCATTTTAATAAGAGCGTAACTTGAGCTATTCAGTTGTATCATATAAGCTCAACATTGCTTTTTATTTTCATAGGGATTCAATTTATATACTATTTTTAACTATATGTTGTCTGTCAACTACACACTTATGACTCATGGACTCTCGTGAGTTTGAGCCTAATCTCAAATTCGAACTCATATTAATAATAAATGAATTTAGGTAAGCTGAGTCAAAACGACTTGTTTTTTTAAACAAATCAAGTCTAGGCAAAATTTGAAGATCGACTTCTGAGTCCAATCCGACCCCAAGCAGACCTTAAAAATTATGAGCCAAGCCTAAATAAATCAAAGTTTGTTTGAGCTCGATTCGTTTGACACTTTTACTTTTACGGTGGTTTCATGTTGAATTTAAATCAACTTGTTCTAGTTGCGTGGTGCTCCAATCCATTTTTGAGCTCCACTATTGTTTTCGTTTCAGGCTATTGTTACTCGAGATTTCATGGGCCGAGATTCATTGGACCGGGTCACCTGTTTTCTACTTTAAACCAGTGTAACGAATCGGGCCATTGCTCGGCGCCGCAACCTATCCACCATGTTTTTGAACCCGTTTATCACAGACCAAAAACCCTTACACCTTCGAAAGTTAGGGTAATTTAGTCTGTCCCTCTCTCTCTCTCCCTCCCTCTCTGAGTCTAGTGATCAGCCATGGTTTGTTTCCCTCAAGTCTTTTAGTCTGTAGTTTTTCATTCCATTTATGACTTTTATATGAACACTTACTGATGTAGATTTTTTTGGTGTTTTTTGTGATGAATTATTATTTAAACAGCCGCAAGGGGATTACATAGAGCTCCACAGGAAGAGACATGGCTATCGCCATGATCACTTTGAACGCAAGCGCAAGAAGGAGGCTCGTGAAGTTCACAAGCGTTCCCAAATTGCCCAAAAGGTCCAATTTCTTCACTCTTCTACATCTCTCTCTCTCTCTCTCTCTCTCTCCCCCAAAATACATGAGTAGATTGTATATTTTTGAATTTTTGCAAAAATTCTTCATGCTTGTGGTTCAATTTGGATGGAACAGGCACTGGGTATCAAGGGCAAGATGTTTGCCAAGAAACGCTATGCCGAAAAGGCCCAAATGAAGAAAACGTGAGCTCTCTCTCTCTCTCCGTAGATATGGTAATTTACAATGTGTTGGTTAGTTTTTTTTTGTTTTGTTTTGTCAAGCATGTTTGTTTCAGATTCACATATGCATAAGAGCTCCTTGTGCATATAAGCTTACTATTGGCTTCGTTCATATTATGGATCATGTTCTTTTCAATTTTTTAGTCGCCACCACTAAATCATAATGGAGATAATGCTGCTGAGATTTTCTTTTGTATTTATATCTATATTATGTCAACAGATTGGCTATGCACGAGGAATCCTCAACAAGACGTAAGGTGGATGATGATGTTCATGAAGGAGCTGTTCCTGCCTACCTTCTTGATCGTGAAACAACAACTCGGGCAAAGGTATGGTTTCTTGGTTGATTGGGTGGTTTTGGCTTCTTTTGTTCGTTTGCACATTTATATCGACTGTATACTGAAATTAGAATGACTTTTCTGTATTAGGTTCTCAGCAACACTATAAAGCAGAAGAGGAAGGAGAAAGCTGGCAAGTGGGACGTGCCTCTACCCAAGGTATACTCACTTGAACTTTTTAATACTTAAGGTTTACGATGTTTGTTTCCTTTGATATCCTGCATCTCTTCCATGTATGACCTATTAATGGTTGTTGGATTCTCCTTGCACGTTTAGGAGTGAAAACAAGAACATTGTGTACAACAGTATGAGGTTCTTAAAAGTAGTTGTTCTTTGTTTTTTTGGTGAATGAGGGGACTGTGAGATTGAATCCATACTTGTACAACTCATCCAGTAGGACAACATGGTTCAAGCATGCAACACTTTTTCCTAAGCCACACAATGTGATAGTCATTCACTAATTTTAATATGGGCAAATTTTGCTCTTCGCCTCTGTAGTGGGCAATCTGTTCAGATATGTTTTCGCTTTTTCAATGGTTATGTCATTTGGTTGATGGATTTTAACAATTTGTCATTTTTCCCCTGACAAAAGTAATATGGATTATTCACTTTTGCCATAAAAATGACTGTAGGCTGTAGCAAAGAAAATGCCTGCAAAATGGGTAATACTCATCAATTAAATATGGACAACCGATGTGTTATAATTCTTAGGTAGGTAAAACCCATATAAACTAGTCCTCTGTTTTTTTCCTCTCATTTTGTGAATGGGTTGTTGCTACTTTTCTTCTCTCTTGTTTCTTCCTTCCTAATTATTCTAACTTTTTCACTCTAAAATCCATCCAATTCAACCATTCGCCTGACAAACTCATCACTGCCAAGCACTCTCTCTCTCCTTATATGTGTGTACATGCCTGCTCTTCTACCAAACTACCTTTACCAAAATCATCTCTCCTACCATCCTCAATTCCACAATCACCAACCAAAAAAAAAAAAAATGAATACCGTAATCATCCACTTTTTATGATTTTTCTGTGAGAAGAAAGGAAAAAACAGACTGTTACCTAATAAATGAGAGCTATTTCAACTTTTCAGGTCAGGCCTGTGGCTGAAGATGAGATGTTTAAAGTAATCAGATCTGGTAAACGGAAAAGTAAGTATTTCACATGCCATTATCTTTTGCTGGCTTTGGTACCTGAGTTATATGGTAGAAAATTGTTTACTTGTATTTGCCTTACGAAACAAGTCAAACAACTAAAAGGAATAAATACATTCACTTCATCTACTTCCCCCACCTGACGGTTCAGACCTTTTTTTTTATGCTCCGCAGCCAAGCAATGGAAGAGGATGGTCACCAAAGTCACATTTGTTGGACCAAGCTTTACAAGAAAACCTCCTAAGTATGAGCATTTCATCCGCCCTACAGGGTTACGTTTCACTAAAGCTCATGTAACGCACCCTGAACTGAGATGTACTTTTAATCTTGAGATCATCGGAGTGAAGAAAAATCCAAATGGTCAAATGTATACCTCTCTTGGTGTTGTGACCGCAGGCACCATTATCGAGGTAAATTCTGCTTCTATTTTGGTTATGCATTTACAATTTAACCATGCTTTTGTCTTCCGTATTCAGATGTCTCTCCTAACTTGAATTTTAGGTGAATGTCAGTGAACTTGGTTTGGTCACACCTGCTGGAAAAGTTGTATGGGGTAAGATTTTCCATTTTGTTCTTCTAAAGTAAACATTGTTCTTTTTCACTTTCATTACTTATTGGTATTCTTATTTGCTTACACGCCACGGTGGATACAGGGAAGTATGCTCAAGTGACAAATAATCCTGAGAATGATGGTTGTATTAATGCTGTTCTCCTTGTATAGAGGGATTGTCAACAGCAGCAGAAGAAGAGGTCGCTAGTGTTTGCTTGTTTGGTAATATGTAAAGAACAGTTACAAATTGCCTTCCACCTAAATTTTGTCCGGAAATTGTTTTGTTCCTTTGAATGTTGCAGCACTCTTTTTCTTTTATTTTTTTGGATCAAGTTAAAATATGAGAAAATCTTTTAGTTTGGGTTGTTTTGGATGTGGTATGATCGTCAATATTTTAAGATCCTAAATTCACGTCTGGTAACATACACTCTAATTACCCGGTGTGCGTGATGCACATTTAAGGTTTGCATAGCAACTAGAATTCGTGGAGGTATAGTTGAAATAATTGTGGGTTATGTACGTGGTTTAAAGTTGCGGTATCGACCATTAACTCAAAAAGTTTTGAGACATATCGGTCGCAACGTCACAATGTGGTATCGGACAATACGGTCTAAAAAAGAATGTTGAACGTGACGAAAGATTTAGGTCATATCGCAGAATTGTATTGATCGATTAGATGATGATAACTCGATGACTCAAGGTTAATTTGGAGACAACTCAGATGTCTGGGTTGAAACGTACAAGATTCGGCGTTTATATGTATTGTGTAACGATATTGTCTTAAAAAGTGCTGAATTAGATTAGACTTAGTTAATTTGTATCAATATAGACCGATATTTTGAATCATGTTATATATATGGAGAGTGATATGTGAGCACATAATAAATATATAGTACCCAAAAATTCTCTCAATATTATACCTCTAAATGATATTTGGTAAAAGATATATATATATATTTTTGATTTATTTAGGACCTTGAAAAAAAATGAGGCATGATCATGAAAAATAACTTGCGTAATAGTTGAAATACAAAGCTTTGTTGAGTTGGATTTGCTTGAGATTATTGTTTTTTTTTAATTACATAGTGTTCAGGTTTGTATCAACTGTTCTCCCGAGTTTAGTAGCTAGCAGCTAGTACAATGGCTTAAACTGGTCTAAAACATGTCTCCAACATAACAAAGATGACTAACATTTAAGAGTGTGAAAATGAATTAAATCTAAGATTTAACACTAATATTCTATTTTCATTTAAATGAATTCATATTAAACATGTTAGTTTTGTATTACAATACAAACGAGAAAATAGAGAAAGTATTTATTTTTAATAAACGGTTTGACGGTGTCAATTTGAATTTGCGTGTCAAGTCATTTTCAAGTTCGTGTCATAAAATTCATGTTGAGTTCGAGTTGTGTTATCGTATTCAGTCAAAAATTTTCATCTCTAACTAAAATAAAAAAATATTTTTTTAAATTTTTAAATTTTTATTTTTAAATTTTTTAAAAATATTTATATAAATATATATTTTATCATTATATTTTTATATACATAATATATCTATAATATATATAAAAAGCCTCTAATCTAAATTTAAAAGTCTCTAATATATCTATAATATATATAATAAATTCAGGGCGGCTTCAACAGTCTCAAATCAATTTAAAAGTCTCTAATCTAAAGGCTCACAATATGTCTCACTGAAATCAAAGGCTCACAATACATCTCGCTCAAAAACTAAATCCCGCCCATTCCAACACACAACCCAAGAGGTGTGCTTTCCTTCCCAAGCCAGCCGGCAACCATAGCGTCTCTTTCTTTCTCTCTCGACTCTCTCTCTCGACTCTCTCTCTCTCACACACAAACACAGACACAAACAAGAAGCAGATCAAGCCTCTGCCATGTCTCCCTCTCTCTCTCTCTCTCTCTCTCTCTCTCTCTCTCTACATTAACACACCCACACACAGACATCACGAGCACACACACATAGATCACGCACACACACATACCACGCACAGTCACACGATTTGCGAAATTTAGGTTTTCAAATGGGGGGTTTTTGGAGTATTTTTGAAATTTGGGTTTTCTTGGTGTGAAATTTTGAGTGTTAATTTCGTTGTTGAGATCGAGAGCTTCTTATACCAGTTGCCGACTCCGTTGACGATGACGCCTCTTCTAAACCCTCCTCTTCCGCTTCCTCTTCTCATCGCTTCCGGCCGTGAGGTAACCCTCCTCTCTCTCTCATGTTTACTGATTGATTGCTTGATTGACGCAATTTGAATCCATGAAACAGTAAAGGGTTTTGGTAACCCTCCTCTCTCTCACGGGTATTTTTACCTTTGTTGTTTGAATCCATGTTTTTGGGTTTTATGATCTGATTGCATAGAGGTGTGGTTGTTCTTAGTTATATAATTACCTAAATTTAGACGCACACTTTAATTTTCCTGCACATAAACTGTTTGTTGAAATGCCTCACAAAAATAATTTTCCTTCCTTTGCTTTATTTTGGTGGTTTTGTTAATTTGTATGGACTGGGTGTTGTTTTTGGTAATTTGATTTTTTCTATTTTTTGCAATTGCAAGTCGCAGTGCCTCTCGAAATAAGATGGTGTTGAAATGACTTCCTAGAAGTTCTATAAAATGTATCCTGTAGATTACTTATTTTGTGCATGCGTTGAGAGTGGCATGATAACACAAATACAAGCAATGTTCCAGTTTTTAAAATGCTACTTCAAGTAAGGTGCACCGACTTGAATTGGTTCATTTATCATTAAAATTGCTACTTTAAGGTGCATGTAATAAATATCCAAATGAAAATCATAAGAACTTGGTGATAATTTATGAGTGGTTGAGAATGGTGGATACTTTATGTATGCTACTGGTGCCCACCGGCCCACAATTTGTATTATGTTCTTTTGGGTAAAAATTAATTTTATGTTGCTTCTGCATTTTACTTACTAAATATTCATTCTTATTGTGCTTTATTGTCCCTTTCAGGAATGTATTGGCAGGGCAGTTCTACTGTTTGAATTTCTTTGAATTTTAGTTTAATTTGAGTAATCTCAATGAATTGATAGGTTCATAGACATGTTTCAACATATTAACATGTTGATAATGTTTTAGGCTGACAGAATGTTTTTAATTTTGTAATATTTTCATTGGTGAATCCCTATCTGCGGGTATTCATCGTATTTAAATAGGTGGCATTGCGTTTTCAAACCAGCGTATATATGAAGCTTCTCCCCAATTCCCCTCCTCCAATGAATGCATGTTTTTTTTCATCCTATAGGTGTCTCCCGGGAAAAGAGATTTTACAAAAGAGGTATCACAATTGATCAATTTGAAGCAAAGAGGATAGCTACCGAACAAATGGAAGAAATCATTGCAAATGAGGATTTCAAAGTTAGTCTAATTTCATTTCATCACCTTTATTTGGCATTTTTTAGTGTTAGGTGAGAGTAGACTTGAACAAAACAATGACCTTAGATGAATTGTTAAATATTTATACCGATAATCAAAAGGTTTGTGTGTATTTGGGCCATTCTACTGTTTGATCTTGCAATTTTTTGTTTCTTTTTTTATCAGTTTCTTTATTTGTAGTCGTGTATGCTTCATCAATATTTATGCACCTACCTTTCTGTAGTATATTCTAGAGTTTCAATTACTAACTTAAGGAGTATTTGGTTATTATTTGGGTGCACTATGACTACTTTTAATCAAGCTTAATGGGTTTTATAGTTATTCAAGAGTAAGCAATGATGTTTTATCAAAGCATAGAGTTTTTTGATGTTCCATGGAGCAAATGATGTTACATTGCTAAAAATAATTTTCCTCTATGTAATATTATAAGTTGAAATGTGTATGTGCGTTTGGCTTCTCGTTGGTGCCTCCATTGAGAAAGAGGACTACAATGTAACAGGTAATTCAAGGGGTTCAGTTCCGTTATTAGTTTTATGCTTTTTCATTTTGTTTCGTAAAACCAGTTAAGAATCTATGATATGGTTTTGGCGCATAATTGAAATGGGTTATGATATGGGTACATTTTTTTAATATTTGATTCAATTGGTTTTTTATTTGGTGATCAGTGTATAGGTTGTGTCAATTCTGGTGTTGGGTGGTGTTACCTTTGGTGAATTTCTACCACCTGCAAAGTGTATTAATGTAAAAACATTGAGTTTTACATAGTGTATTTTGTTGAAGTGTAATTGTAGATTTTCCTAAATGTTGAATTAATTTGAATTGACATGTAATTCATGGCATGCCCTTTTTTTTATTAGTTAGAATGTTAGATACTTGAATGATATATGGATTGATCTAATAAGTGATGTTTATAATTGGTGAAACTAAATGTTGGTTAATTGATGGGAGTTGTATTCAGTTCTTATGTTAAATGCTGGAATTTTGGTACCACCAATGGGTGCCAACATGTGGTGTAAGTTGGATTGTTTTACCTATGGGTGAAGGGTGTAAGGTTTTTGTTATGGTTGAAGGGGCTATTGTGTTTATGGTTTGTAATTTTAAAAAGTGAGATAATGATCGGTTGAAAATGGATTTCTTTGGTGTATAGTTGGTTTCTAAACAATGCCCCACTCCCTCTCATGTATGTGGTCATGGTTGGGTTGTACTTGACAAGTGATTAAAATGATTGGTTTGATTACAACTGGTAGCAAGATTATATGTGTAAAATCATTCAAATTTTTCCTCAATTCCTTGCGTGACTAATTTGTTCACGTTGTGTATGAAAGAGTTTTTTTTATGGATGAAGAACTCAAACTTATACTTTCTCTTCATAGGTTCTAAGTGTCCCAGTTAGTTGTTTTCTCTTTCCTATATATTTTATCACATAAGAATTATTTCTCTTCATAGGTTTTACAGATTAAACTAACAGTAGATAATTATTTTTGTTTGTTACATAAGTAGGGTATTTATTTAAATTTTTTTTAAACTTGCTTAAACCATGTGATACTTTCTCTTACTATGAAATTGCGTTACCTATTTGAGCTAAGTAGTTTCAGTGGATTGGAGGCTTACATGAGTCCTTGAGTAATGAATTATGACATCTATAGTATTTTAGAATTTAGAGTTTGATTTGTACGATTAGTACTTTAGTGCTTTGGACTTAATTCTTTAGTTTAGGAATAAGTTTCTAAAATAATAAAGTCATAATATTATACTTTTGTTGTTGTAGAATCTTATGAACATTACTTTTGTTGTTGTAGAATCCTATGAACATTAGTTTTGTTTTTGTCTATTCCTTTTAAGTCTATTGTGAATTATTTTTTTAGTTGTGTTGGTCAACTGTTGAATTATAGTTTGGTATGGAAAAATTAACTAGATCAACAAAGAATTGAAAAATTGATAACTTTGTTATTGATTGTTGTTGAATTTTTTATATACCCTTGCAAGTTTGTTTTTTATTAGCATACTCCATCTCTCTATTGCAATTTTTCTTCAATATAATCTTTATATTGATAATACTTTGTTAAGTATGTATCCAAAGTGTGGTATTTGAGGATGTGATTTAAATTTTTAGCTTATTGCGGTTATTTTCAGTGTTTGATTATTTTAAGTCCACAATTAATATTCGATTATTTTTTGCGGGTTATTACTAGCAATATCGTTTCATTGTTTTCTACTAGACTATTTTGGGTGTAAATGTTTATAATTACTTGTTTTTTTCGTGCTTTTCTTGACAGAGAAATGAAGATGCATCAAGGAGCTTTGAGAATAAAAAAAGGTTGATCTTGGTGGGTGACAAAAATTTACTATGAGCGGCCATTTTTGGCAATCTAAAATGGTAACTACTTAATCTCCCTTCCTACCCTATCAACACTGCCACACTGAAACCACTAATTTTTAGGTGTTCCATATTGCCTATGATGTCTTTAGCAAAATCCGTTCTCCCTTCTCTTTGGGATTGAATTTTGATTAGTTTTTTCATTGGGTCTTAGATGTTGATTGAGTGTATGTGAGCACAGGCATGGGTTTGGATAAGGAGGCATTTTCTGTGGAATTGCACTTACTGCCTGGTGTTCTGGGCAGTGTTGTTTGTCAGGATTGTGAACAGTGTATATCTGGGATCAGTTGGGAACAGAAGGTCCGGATTATGCCTGGACTTTTCTTTTTTGTTTGATGAGGTGTTTCACTTATGTCAATAGCTGTGTTGCATTGGTTTGACACCTGAGGTTTACATTGAAGCTCTATGCTGCTAGGGGCAGTCGGATTTTTCTGGTCTGCTTCTGCCGTTTGCCAGGTCTGGTTCTGTTCATTGTCCAGACTTCTTGTTTAGGTTCAATGGCATTGGGTGGAATGTTGCCTGTTTGCTGTGGTTTGCTGCCTTATGCTGGTCTGGTTGCTGCTTTTCTCTGTTTTAGTGATCTCCTGCTGGTCTGGCTGTATGCTGCTGTGCTGTTCTGTGCTGCAGGGCTGTGCTGGGTGTGTGACTCTGTTGATGGGGGTTTGTGCAGGGTCAGTTCAGTTTTGGTTTGGAGGGCTGCCTATGTGCTGATTTCAGGGCTTTTTTCCTATTGAAGGATTAAAGCCAACTTTTGTTGGTTCCTCTCTTCTGCACCAGGCAACAGTTAATGCTATGTGAAGCTGGTCTGTGCTACAGTTATCTCTGTTGGACAGATTTGGAGCTGGCTGTGCTGCAAGGCCTTTTTACAGTTACTATACAGGATCTGCTTTCATTCTTTGAACAGATTTTCTGTTTTTTGTACAGTTTTCTGTTTGAATTTGTTCAAACAGTCACTGTTTTTGTTTCTACAGTTACTGTTTTTTGCTTCTTGTAATTGTTGACTTTTCTTAATATATTTCTCCTTCTTCAAAAAAAAAAAAGTGCCATACTTCATGGGCTGAAACAATGATGCTATGTTAAGAAACAATGAATTCTGATTTTGTCTTTCATATTTTTTTTACTACTATTTCGTTTCACAATTGAACTACTAACTAGAAACTTGGTGGGATATAGGTAGCAGTTTTTTTGGCAGAATCTGTGGTGTAGTTGAGGAATCATGGTAACAGGTATTTTCGCCAAAAATGATGCGGGGTCATCCTACTGGATTTCCTTTCTTTTCATATTTCAAAGAATATCTTCCTTCAATCTTGCAGGATTTTAGGACTTTACGTGTTTTCAACTAGGGATGGAACTCTTGGTGTAGGCCAACTGCTCATTGGGTTTTCATGATACCAATGAAGTGGCAGAAGCCATTCTTGGCTCCCACGCTATTGGACTGGTGTTTTATAATTTGTTAGTATTGTTTTGTTCTCAACTCATTTGTAGTTTAGAAAATTAATGAATTAATTGATGCTCAAAGTGTTCAAATGTTGAAGCCCTTGGTTTGGGTTTTTTCCTTTCATTTTTGATGGGTTTTATTACTAGCAATATCGTTTCATTGTTTTCTACTAGACTATTTTACTTGAAAATGTAATAAATACCAAAAATTTTATCAAAAAATATTTTTACTAAATGAGCTGGCAGATCTATTTCACTCCTGGAGCCACTAAATACTAATCAAAATATTTTTGATTGGATACAAAATTATCAACTTATTTGATAAAATTAATTTTTAATAAATAATTCGATGAACATAACATTACTCATGCCTCAAATTCAATGGCAGCCTTCACAACATTTCCAGGTAGATGTAGGCTTTGAACTTCAGTTCCTTTCTACAATCATATCATGAAAGTGGAATTGATATTCCACATAATGCACATGCATGTACACAACATTTTCATATTATGTTCGATTTTTTTTAGTTGTACAATATTTTCAGGCACGGGCTATCACTAGTATATATATACAATACATCTCGACACAAATAATTAATTTTTTATCCATTTTTTTTCTGATTTTGAAGAGATTAATTTTGGTGAATTGGAAGGAAAGTTAATCTATCTACTTTTATATCCTTCTTATATTCATTCTTTATCAAATATGATATTTTATTTATCCATCTAACTTTTTACCTTTTTAATTTTTTATCTTTTTATTTTTTCATGGTACCAAATCAAACATAAAACGTTCCGTGGGGCTCCGTGGGAAACGCACTGACCAAGATGCCCTCAGTTATAATGCTTAAAGGACCAGTATTTGAGGGTATTTTCGTCGAGATAACAAAGTGAACCATTCCAATCCCGAGAAACCACGGCCCAGGCAAAATGTCCGACCCGAATGTCTTATTTAAGTACTCTACTCGTTTTACTGCTCCATATACACTGTTGGAGCTGTTGCAGACGAGAAGAGAGAGAGAGAGATGGCGTCGAACGCAGCAGTGCCGTTTTGGAGAGCAGCCGGGATGACATACATAACCTACTCTAACATATGTGCAAACCTAGTGAGAAACTGCCTCAAAGAGCCTCACAAATCTGAAGCCCTGGTCCGCGAGAAGGTCCATTTCTCCGTCGCCAAATGGGTCGACGGCAAACCCCAGAAACCCAGTAAATCTCTCTCTCTCTCTCTCTCTCTCTCTCTCTCTCTGTATTATCTGATCTTAGTTGCTACTTCAGATCTAGGGCTTCTTGTGCCTTAGATTTGTTGTCGCTTTTTTGTTATCTGATGATTTGATTCTTTGATTACAATATGTTTGTTTCTCTTACAAGGTGATTGATTAATTGATGAATTAGGAATGGAATTTTTGGTTCGGGCCTCTGATGTTTGCATTTAGGGTTTTGTTTAGTCACTTCGTAAGGGGCTTTTACGATTATTTATATTGATGATGACGACATTAGTCACTTGATTACTGTTGCTCCATAGCTATTTGTTATCAGATGACTTGATTCTTAGAATACAGTATGCTTGTTTCTCTTACAAGGTGATTGATTAATTGATGAATTAGGAATGTCATTTTTTGGTTCGGGCCTCTGATGTTTGTATTTAGGGTTTTGTTTGGTCACTTCGTAAGGGGCTTATACGATTACTTACAATGATGATGACGACATTAGTCACTTGATTACTGTTGCTCCATCACTATTCGTAAAGCTCTATAAGTAATTAAACTGTCCAGCTATTATTGAGCATTTTGAGAAATTTCAGATTTTCTATTCGTCTAAGGAATGGGAACATGGGCTACTTTGGATTTGTGTTTTAAGTTTTTCAATGAAATGGGAATTATGTTATGATATGGGAATCTGTGTAAGACTTTGTTCATCCCATACTGATTATAGTTTTTCACTGTGAGAAACGTCTGGACTTGACTTAATTAGACTGGTTCTGGCTCACCACTCATTTTATTTAGTTATAGCCAAGGAAAGGGAATTTGTTCAGATGGCTTCCCGTCGGTGTGTTTTATACTCACATTCGTAGATTGAACCATCCGTCACCCCTTCTCTTGCAGCACATTTACCTTATCTTTTTCCCACACTGACAGAATAGATAGGTGACATATAAATTTGGTTTTCGCATGTGTAGTGGAATGAAAAAAGGGTAGCCATGATCTTAGGCATATTGTAGTCTTGAACATTTGTTGTATTTACTGTCTGATTTTATGTTTTCCTCGTATGTATGTTCGTAGCCATGTACCAAGTGTTTGGTAGATAAAATGAACAGAATGAGTTATTATATTAGAGGTTTCTCTTAGTTTCTGATGCATTGCCAAAGTGGCAGTCAAGCCTCATGGATGTTAAGGTGGGTAAGATAGAGAACTAGGAGTTAATTCGCCATTGATTTGTAATAGAGGCCTTTCTATATGACTACCTTTCTCTGTGTTTCCACTGTTCATCGTGTCTACTAACTCATGCCTGGCAGTAGTGTTTTTTGTTTTTCGAATATTTTATACTGTTTGTGATGGAGTTGGATGGTGTAGTAGTAATTAATGTCAGAAGTAGTATATTTATTGGATGTGAAGGGGAGGTTAAATTTTGATCATTATTCACCTTGATACTACTAGTTATAACTCCTTTGTACTTGTCCTTGTCCTTTTCTTGGTTGTGGATTGTGGTTCTATATTGTTTCTTGCTTGACATATTTATTTTTGTCTCACCAGTCATCCGTTCAGATACACCTGAAGACTGAGGCAGGAAGTTCATCACCAAGTGACTCGTAGTTCATTTTTACGGAAGTCTTCCGTTTCCATCCGTTCACTGGATTTGATTTCGTTGGAGTTGTAGCTTTGGCACCTCAGACAAAGGAGAATTTTCATAAAATTTACCTGAAATAATGTGCTGGACTATTTAAATGTTGCACTGTTACTGAATTTGGATGGCGTTTGCCTGCATTTGTCAGTGATTTTGTGATCTGATATCTTGTTAAAAGTGGTGGTTGTTTTGCCTTGTTAAAATCATATAAGGTCTTATGATCACATATTTTGATGAGTCAAATATCCTGACTCAGATCTTTTATATATTGCTTGGACAGATAAATACTTGTGTGGTTAAATTGGTGCCAACTGTTTTTCCATAGTGTTTTGAGAGAATGACTGCTTTCAAACCAAATATTGGAACTTGCGTTGTTAAGCAGGCGGACAAATATGAATTATGCTTGTGAATGGACACATTAGAAGTTCCATTGGATCGATGACATATGTTATTGGTTACATTGCATTCTTGTCTCTGGATTTCCTTCAGAAAAGCATAATTTTTTTCCTTCATCTCTTTCTTTATGTTCATCTGTTTTTAAGCTGTTAACATTTGTCAGAGTAAGTCATCTTCCTAATCTCATTAAAATCTTTCCTTTCTCTCTTATCCGCAGCTGTTTATTAAGTCCAAGGAACAAGATTGTAGACTTGAAAAGCATTTGTTGGTTTGCAATTTATTTTACAGTTTAAAGATCTGAAATTTGACAGTTTGCAATTAGTTTTGAGTTTCAATATTAATTGAAATTTATTTTCCAGTGAAAGTACATGCACAATGAGATTTACCCTGGATTGACTGTTTTAGTGCTCTATATATATTATGTTTGCCTTCTATACGGTGGATGCATACGAGGATACTCGTATAAATTTGTGCTAGAATGGATTCAAATTTATTCATGTCTTGCCACTAATCTATATATATCAAATAAAATAATTAAGTGAAATACACATTTGTTATACATATTATTTTTGTAAGTTTTTATATTTGATCTATTTGTTATATGATAGTTTTTATTTTTCTTGTAAATCTGTTTGTGAGATTTTATAATTTTTTCTTAAAATCATAGAAATTAATTGTAATAGGCGGGGAGGAGAATGGAGAACGGGATCAAAATTTATCCATGGGGAGAGAACAGAGATTAAAATTTCCTTCGCTAACAAGGATGGATCGGGGTAATAAACGAATATTTTTAAAGTTGGTAAAGGGGCAAACACTACTTCCCTCGCCCCAATCCATCCCTATTCTTAATTACTTTTAAGCTTAGTTTATATGAGAAAGATAGCCTCATAGCCTCATATTTATTTGAAAAAGATCTCTTATGTCAATCTCGTTAGGCCACCAAAACATTTAAGATTAGTCTTGGTTAAAGTTAGGGAGCATGAATTGTATTTAAAGCAAAAAAAATAAAGTTTAACCTTGACATAGATTACATTTTTTTGAACAATGTATAGAGTACGGATAGATTGTCAAAAAAAAAAAGTAAAGGCTATTTAAATAATGTTTTTCAATTTCGAATTTGTGTTGCAGTCTTCATTCACATATCTACCCATTAAAAATCATTATCTTTATGTAACAATGGAACAAAAATAGGATTTCTAGTTTTGTGATTGTGAATTTTTTGGAAAACAAATACTGTAATTATCCTAGTAGTAGTGCCCCTTTGATATCTACTGCAATTATAAGCCAAGCCATCAATTTCTCACCACTGTCGTCACCAAGTTAACAAACTTAAGGTCAGTGAAGTGGTAAGAAAGTTGAGTTATAAATTTAAATATTTTTTAGTTTAAATTTTAATAATTTTTTAGTTCAAATTTTGATAATTTCGGTTTAAGTAGCTTATTTTTTATCTGATCAGAAAAAAGGGTAAACAATACAAATGTCCCTCAAACTTTAGTATTCATTTTAAATTGACCCCTGAACATTCAATTGTATCATTTTAAGCCTTATACTTTTATATCTGTACCAATCAACTCATTCTGTCAGACATTAAAGCTAACTGGAATAGAAAAACTGTGAGGAATTAACGGCATAATGGACATTATACTCAATGGAGCTGGGTTTTGGCGTCAAACATCTTCTCCTTTCCCTCCTATGAATGTAAAAGTATAAAGGCTAAATGGTACAATTGAATGTTTAGGGCCAATTTAAAACAGATACTAAAGTTTGAGGTATATTTGTGTTGTTTACCCGAAAAAAAATTAGTTGAAGTCAAATAAATAAATAAAAACCAAAGTTAACCAATCTCCACTGCGTAGCAGAGAGAATCAAGAGAGAGAAAGGACCGCGTTGGAGCTGGGTTGGCGACCCACCAACCTGTCAATTCTCTCTCTAGGGGTCGCGTGCTGTTTCTTCTTTCTGCGTCATCGATGGCAATCGCGTTACATAATACCTTGAAAGATTTCACAGCCCATTCGCAGTCTTTAGATATAAGCCTACGGTAAGTAGGAGAAGCCCAACCACTTCCTTTGATTTTTCAGACTAAAACTCTTAATAAAGTTCCTGGTAAACTTCAAATCGGATCTGAACTGAGAGACCCATTGAGTTATGGCGTCTATGAAGTCGTCTCGTTCAAGGGCACACTCCGGGACACCAGCGAGAGGCAACCCAAAGGAGAACACCACGAAGCTCGAGGAAAATCTCAACGTCTTCAAGTCTGCTAATTTCGATGCCGATGGCTATGTACAGTCCAAGTCTCATTCGTTGGACGAGAAGGTCTGTGTTGCACTAGTTTGTTAATAAGCAATGGGGACGTAATTGGAGACCTAATTCAATGCAAGTCTACCTTTAATCCAATAGATGCATTGAATTAGGTCCCCAGAAGTAGCATTTTACTTTGTGAATTAGTTTTTTGAGAGTTTTTAATGATACGTTTTGGCATATTATGTTGAAATCCTTGTTCTGTTATTGTTATGGAAATTGAAACTTGTTTGTACAAATTCAGATTGAGGGGCATGGGCCACTAACAAGTTAAGGTAGATGTTAAATAATTGTGAACTTTTTTCGTTTAAAAACATCTGACGTTGGAGATTTTGATCATTTTCCTTAGAAAGCTAGGAAAAATGAAGTGAATCTTAAAACATTTGCTGTTCTAAATTGAGAGATGCCCAAGAGTTAGTTTCACATTTTATTTTGCACCATTTTCTAGACAAAGATTGAGCAATCAAATTATTATTATCACCATTTCCGATTTTAGAAAGTTTGTATAATGGAAAAAGTATAACATATCAACTCAGTCCCTTCATTAGTGTTTACGCAAGCTCTGTCAGTTTTCTGCTACATATCGAATGTGTGTTACACATATGGTTGTGAACATTAACAAAGTTGTAAGATGAGAATGGGTATGACACTGTACTATTATGTTGGTCACACTTGCTTGGATGTTGAACTTGTAGTCATCTTTTCCTGAACAAAATGTCTACTTCTTGTAATATTGTACAACTGATCTTTTGTCACTGTGGCCAGAGTTCCTATTTGTTGATTTTTGAGCATCTTATGAGTTTAAGCATTGAGGCTTGGTCTATTGTTTTGGACCATTGTGTCTGTTCGACTGCTACATATTAACTAAGCCTAGAAACTTCAACTGCTCATTGAGTATAGCATCTTGCAAATCCTGTTATGCTTGATACTGGGTTTTCATTTCAGCTTCGGAAGTATTTATTCTCAAAACTAACTGATAAACATTTTTGCACTGGGCATGCATATTTTTTTTCCTATGATTGTAATGAGAAGTCCATTGATATCTGTGCAATACGCTCGGTTCAAATTGTGTAAAGCTTTTCCTATCAAATGTTTGCTAATATTCTGTTTCCTAGGAGGTTTTAAGATCCCAAGTGGTGGTTGGGGGGGGGGGGGAGATTACTAAAGAATGCAAGAGATACTTATGTTTCGTCAATGTTCTTATGCCATTTACGAGCAAGAAGAAAAGTTCTTTTAATAATATGTTATCTGTTTGTATTCACAGGAACTAAGGCAATTGTGCACAAATCTTTTGGATTTGAAGAAAGTTTCTGCTGAGGAAATGCGCAGAAGTGTTTATGCTAACTATAAAGCCTTCATACGGTGAGTCCTTCGGTACAGGTGCTAGGAGCATATGATCAACATACACATACTTGCATATTCGATAAGTTGCGGCTTCAGAATAAGCAATTCAGAAATAGAGTAAAGGGACATACCACCCTTACAAGACATCAGTAAACATCAAAGGCTCAAACTATCGAAGCAAGAGAACTTCTCCCCGTGAAAATTCCATAAAATCTAATCCGATTCATTTGGAAAAAACACAGATTACAACGAGACTTTGTACTTGATAGCTGCAAAAAGCTCCAGCCAGCCAAGAAACGGGCCAATTAAAACCAGATGCATCAGTCGAGCAAAAGCACTTACCTTCATCACCAGTCTGAGAACTCAAGCAATCCATCTCTGTCTCTCTCTCAACTACTACAGTATTGGATCAAGTTTTGTTCTTAGCAAACTTGTGCAATTTGTCATGATCTCAGTGAATACCATAAAACTTATTTGCCGTTTCTCTTTCCTAGTTTTCTGTATGACTGTATGTCTAGTTAACAGTTAACATTGAAGATTTTTCAGTTCTTTCATGGGAGCTATTTGATGTGTAATCTTCTAGTGTGTTGTCGATTTTATGTGGCCTTTCACTTGTGTACCTTGGATTTTGAGTACTCTGAATTTTTTATATGCAGCACATCAAAAGAGATATCAGACTTGGAGGGTGAGCTTTCATCAATCAAGAACCTGCTATCTACTCAGGCAACTTTAATTCATGGTTTAGCAGGAGGAGTTCAAATTGACTCCTCGTCTATCACTGTTCCTGATGGTCCCACGACCAATGGATTTTGTAATGATGAAGCTAGAGACCCTTCAGAACTAGAGAAATGGTTAATAGACTTTCCTGCTCTCCTTGACGTTTTGTTAGCTGAAAGGAGAGTGAATGAAGCTTTGGAAACCCTTGAGGAAGGAGAACGTTTAGCTTCTGAAGCAAAAGAATCGAAAACCTTGAGTCCTGTTGTGCTTTTGTCTCAAACTGCAATTACTGGATGTAGGCAAAAATTAGCTAATCAGCTTGCTGAAGTCGCTTGCCAACCTTCTACACGTGGTGTTGAGCTTCGCACAGCTATTTCAGCTCTTAAAAGGCTTGGGGATGGCCCTCGNGGGGGGGGGGGGGGGGGGAGATTACTAAAGAATGCAAGAGATACTTATGTTTCGTCAATGTTCTTATGCCATTTACGAGCAAGAAGAAAAGTTCTTTTAATAATATGTTATCTGTTTGTATTCACAGGAACTAAGGCAATTGTGCACAAATCTTTTGGATTTGAAGAAAGTTTCTGCTGAGGAAATGCGCAGAAGTGTTTATGCTAACTATAAAGCCTTCATACGGTGAGTCCTTCGGTACAGGTGCTAGGAGCATATGATCAACATACACATACTTGCATATTCGATAAGTTGCGGCTTCAGAATAAGCAATTCAGAAATAGAGTAAAGGGACATACCACCCTTACAAGACATCAGTAAACATCAAAGGCTCAAACTATCGAAGCAAGAGAACTTCTCCCCGTGAAAATTCCATAAAATCTAATCCGATTCATTTGGAAAAAACACAGATTACAACGAGACTTTGTACTTGATAGCTGCAAAAAGCTCCAGCCAGCCAAGAAACGGGCCAATTAAAACCAGATGCATCAGTCGAGCAAAAGCACTTACCTTCATCACCAGTCTGAGAACTCAAGCAATCCATCTCTGTCTCTCTCTCAACTACTACAGTATTGGATCAAGTTTTGTTCTTAGCAAACTTGTGCAATTTGTCATGATCTCAGTGAATACCATAAAACTTATTTGCCGTTTCTCTTTCCTAGTTTTCTGTATGACTGTATGTCTAGTTAACAGTTAACATTGAAGATTTTTCAGTTCTTTCATGGGAGCTATTTGATGTGTAATCTTCTAGTGTGTTGTCGATTTTATGTGGCCTTTCACTTGTGTACCTTGGATTTTGAGTACTCTGAATTTTTTATATGCAGCACATCAAAAGAGATATCAGACTTGGAGGGTGAGCTTTCATCAATCAAGAACCTGCTATCTACTCAGGCAACTTTAATTCATGGTTTAGCAGGAGGAGTTCAAATTGACTCCTCGTCTATCACTGTTCCTGATGGTCCCACGACCAATGGATTTTGTAATGATGAAGCTAGAGACCCTTCAGAACTAGAGAAATGGTTAATAGACTTTCCTGCTCTCCTTGACGTTTTGTTAGCTGAAAGGAGAGTGAATGAAGCTTTGGAAACCCTTGAGGAAGGAGAACGTTTAGCTTCTGAAGCAAAAGAATCGAAAACCTTGAGTCCTGTTGTGCTTTTGTCTCAAACTGCAATTACTGGATGTAGGCAAAAATTAGCTAATCAGCTTGCTGAAGTCGCTTGCCAACCTTCTACACGTGGTGTTGAGCTTCGCACAGCTATTTCAGCTCTTAAAAGGCTTGGGGATGGCCCTCGTGCTCATACTTTACTACTTAATGCACATTTACTAAGATTTCAGTACAACATGCAAAGCCTTCGTCCATCGGGCACCTCATATGGAGGGTCATACACTGCTGCCCTCTCACAGCTGGTATTTTCTGCTGTTGCTCTAGCAGCAAGTGATTCTTTGGCTATTTTTGGTAAGGAGCCATCTTATACATCGGAGCTGGTGATGTGGGCTACAAAGCAAACTGAGGCTTTTGCGCTTCTTGTTAAAAGACATGCATTAGCTTCATCTGCAGCTGCTGGAGGTTTAAGGGCTGCTGCAGAATGTGTTCAAATTGCTTTAGGTCATTGTTCATTGTTGGAAGCTCGTGGTTTAGCACTTTGTCCTGTACTCATGAAACTCTTTAGACCTATCGTTGAACAAGCACTAGAGGCTAATTTGAAGCGAATTGAGGAGAGCACTGCTGCTCTGGCAGCGGCTGATGATTGGGAACTCACCTATCCTCCAACTGTCTCACGCCAGTCTGGCAGGTCTTCCAGTACGGCTCTTGGAACTGCAATACCAGCATATCACCACAAACTTTCAAGTAGTGCTCATCAGTTCAATCTAATGGTCCAGGTAAATATTCTAGTTCCAGTGTAAATTCTAAATCATTAAAATATAGATTCTATCCCCACCCCCTTCCCTCTCTCTATCTCACATACACACACACACACAGTCACACACAAACTCAGGTCTGTGCGCATGAGTTATGCAAGCAGTCTTTTATACCTTTAGTCATTTGGTACACTTGAGAAAAAACAAAGTTGGATGTGTTCCAACTAGAGGACAAGTTTCCCACCTCCCCGAGAAATAATTGGTGTGAAAAATTTTGTGTTGCCTCTGCTTGTTGGTCATGACTCGTGACTTTTTCATTCGGCTAGTGAAATAGAGATGGGTTGTTGAATCACAAGCTTCCTCTTACTTCCTCTTTTGACTGAAGAATTATCTTAAATTTTTTTCTTTCCCCAGTGGCATAGATTCATTGTGGAGCCAGAATCTGACATCTTTTGAGGCACAGATGCGTCAAGTCTCAAATGTGGTTGAAAAGAAGTTTTTGTTTGAACGCATAGCTAAAACTATGGTGGGGACTGGGGGCACAGATATATAAATGTCATACCCTTTTTTTTTTCTAGGATAAAGATAGAGTACTAATGTATAAAATAAATAAGGGTTTTCGTAAATTTGGTCATTTCGATGGAAGAAGCTATAGTACCCTTTTCTGTCTCCTGCTGGACTCCCTGAAATTTGGTATCATTTCATTTTAGGGTGAAAGGTAGTCATGATGGCAAGAAATGATCCAAACCTTGATGGATTTTGATTCATATGACCATTCATATAAATAGTTAGATTTTGTTCTGGTTGTTTTAGATTCCAGCTGCTTCCATTTCTCTTTTGTTTCTATTTTCTATTGTCTTCTCAGTCCTCTCTTTTAGATGGGTTTCCGTTTTCACTTAGCCATTGGCTTGTTTCAGTTTGCTGTTTGTTTAGGCTTAAGCGACTTGTGAATGGTGTGCTCTTTATTCAAGTCATTTCGATTGCCGAGCTATATTACTTAATATTTTGTGTTTCTTCTATCGGCATTCTAACAACTAGTCTTTGTTATCACAGTGTAGGTTAAATAGTAATTTTGGTATTAACATTTGTGTAAAGAATTGGTTACATTTTCTTGCTTTTTCTGAATTATTAAGTGATAGATGATGGAATCAAAACCTTGCTGCTCGCTAGTAGCCCTACTGTTACCACTTAGCCAAGGTATCGGTTAAAATTCGTTATGTTGAACCTAGAGCTTGGTTTACTTTCTTTTGGGCATCTTGGGTTTGTCCCATCTTTACAGTTGGTTATTAAATTAATGAAGGTCAATTTTATCTGCTTCTATCTGATTTCTTGTTTACATTGGTGATCTAGTCCTCCAATTCATAGTCCCATATATTCTAATTCTCTTGCAGGATTTCTTCGAGGATGTGGGACCACTCCTAAGTATGCAGTTGGGAGGTAAAACATTAGAAGGTTTGTACCAGGTGTTTAATTCATATGTTAACATGCTCATGAAAGCATTACCGGGTACCATGGAAGAAGAAGTAAATTTGGAAGCTCCCGGGAATAGAAATGTTCGAATGGCCGAGACTGAAGCCCAGCAAATTGCGTTGCTTGCAAATGCATCCTTATTAGCAGATGAGCTGTTACCACGTGCAGCTATGAAGCTTGTACCATTGAATCAGGCTAATTATGAAGATGATACTCGTAGAAAACCTTCAGAGAGGCAAAACCGTCATCCTGAGCAAAGGGAATGGAAGAGACGTCTCCTGAGCTCAGTCGAAAGATTAAAAGATAGTTTTTGTCAGCAGCACGCACTAGATATTATATTTACTGAGGATGGTGAGAGCCATCTTTGTGCTGACATGTACATTGATATGGATGGAAATGTGGATGAAATAGAATGGTTTCCCTCTCCAATATTCCAGGTACTTCTTAGTGATGGATGTTTGCAAATTTTTTGGTTTTCTGTCAAACTTATTAAATTGTCTCATAGTATTGTTATAATCATATAATTTAAAGGAAACAAGTTTCTGTTTTTTTTGGTGATCTGTATGTCTCACAAGATGTTTGTACACTTAGAGTGCTTAGTGTATTTATAATTATTTATGGATTGCACCCTTTGTCTGTTTTAGTGGATTCTCGGTATTATATATTCGATGTAACTACTGTTGCAATTTCTGTAGGTAATATATATCTTTTGATGTTGAAGAACACTTCTCTTGGCTTTTGTATGCACCTCTCTTTAAGATTACTTGTTCACCAATTGCATTTTATGTTGTGAACACAGAACTATTGAACTTTTCTTAACTTAGAACAGGTAAACTCAGAAAAGGTGTGGTTGATTAACTTAAGTGTTCATGTTTATTAAACCCTTCAAATTGCAAGTTTCATTGATGACCAGAATAGGTATGCATGTCAATGCACGGGATCTGTTATGTATTTTGCTAGATAACGTATTTTTTATTTATGGTACTTCAGCTTGATATTTTTCCTTTTTTCTGTTGCTGTTTGGTTGAGGTGCTCAGTTTTTTAGAGGTTTGTCAGTGCTAGTTGGCTCTCTAAATCATTGTTTTTGTTGACTGACTTAAGGAAGTGGTATTCAGTGTTATCTTTTCTCTTCAAGTTATTTATTTATTTATTTTTCTTTTTCTTTTCATGGCTCTTATTTGGTTGATGTGGGCAGATTGGGAAAAAAAATATGAAAATAATGTGTTTCTAGATTGAGTTGTGCTGTCCTGATGGATTTCGGTAAATAATGAATTGCGCTGCTGAATCCAACTAGAAGGTTTTTTATTGCAAATTGGTTAAAATTCCAGAAAGACTCACTTCTGATGTTTTGTTCATTGCTAACTATTTCTTATCACTGGAATAATTATTATGTTCATTTTCTTTTTGTCTTGTTATTTGCAAATTCTAGTTTTCATTGTTGTTTCTATCTCTATGCAGGACCTGTATGCAAAACTTAATAGGATTGCTACCATAGCAGCAGAAATGTTTGTTGGAAGGGAAAGGTTTGCTACAGCATTATTGATGAGGCTTACTGAAACTGTTATCGTATGGCTTTCAGAAGACCAAAGTTTTTGGGATGACATCGAAGAAGGAACAAGGCCTTTAGGTCCTCTTGGCCTTCAACAGGTTTATAAAGTTGATATCTAAGAGTTTGCATCTGTTTTGTGCTGCCTAGTATTAAAATTTAAGGATTGTTTAACTTGTTGAACCATGTGCAGTTCTATTTGGATATGAAGTTTGTCATCTGCTTTGTCTCCCAAGGGCGTTACTTATCTCGCAATTTGCGTCGAGTCATCAATGAGATCATATCTAAAGCAGTGTCCGCATTTGCTGCAACAGGGATGGATCCATATAGGTATGCAGCCGTAGTTTTGAGCGTTAGTCTGTGTAATGCGCCATGCTTCTGGTTTTGCATTCAATTTTTCTATTATACATCAACAGATCTTAAAATTATGAATTTCCTGAGCCACCCCTAAACTAGAACCATTGAAGCATTCTTTAACTTTTTATTCCTTACTTTGCTTGAATCAATGGTTCATTCTGCTTTAAAGAAAATATCAACATGAACATGACTTCCTATATAAACTTCGTAAAAGAGAAGAAATCCCGTGCAATGGCTGCGTGATAACTGACCATCTGGCTGTGTTTCTATCTGCTTGTACCTTTGAAAGGATGGAAATAAGTCTTTGTACTTCTTGAATTACTTACACCTATAACTTGCATATATCTAAGTTGGCATGTTTAAATGATGTGGCATACATAATTCTGAGCTTCCTTTATGCTGCCACCTAATGTGTGCAGCGAACTTCCGGAAGATGACTGGTTTACTGACATTTGCCAAGAAGCAATGGAGAGGCTGAGTGGAGGGCAAAAAGTTGCCCATGGGGACCGGGATCTTTACAGCCCAACTGCTTCTGTCTCGGCACAATCAATATCATCCATCAGATCTCATGGAAGTTCCTAATGAGCTAATGATTCACCTTATGTAAAGAGTATTAGATAGCAAACGAAACCTATTATTTGCAAGCAGTCCTTGTATTCACAAGTAAGTCTTCCCTTATTTTTTCCTAGTTTCAATCAGAGTTTCCGCATTATTTTTGATTATTTTTTTTCCAATTTGTCACTGTAATTTCATGTTTATTTGGTCATAAAGGTTAGGAATTCTTTTGCCTTGTAGTTGAAGGAGGATTTGAGTTTGTATATGTTGATTCGATATTTTCTCATGAATCAAAAAATTTGTTCTATTCTTTGACAACTTAGTGTTAGTGAATCATCTATTCAATCAAAATTTGAAACTATTAGAAGTCCAAAGTTACTAGCTTCGAACTGTCATGCACACACGGTCGTTTATGATAGCATTATGAGTAGAATAGGTTGATGAAACAATCTCTAAAACTAATGTAAAACTACTCTTAAATGCCCAAGTCATGGGTCTTTCATACAGGGAGACTCTTTCATTGTCACATACAGCCCCTAGAATGAGTCAATATGAAAATGTAATAAACGATAGAATTATGGGTAAAATAAGCTTATGATATTAAAGTTTATGATTCTAGGGGCTCCATGAAGTAGTCTTACTCTATGAAAGTTGCATACTTTTATCACATTCCTTGGACCTTAAAGGTTATGAAATTGTAAATTTTAATGAAGCAGACGTTGACATCTCAGCCAAACAAAAGCATTCCCGTAGATAGGGATGACAATGGACCAGAAAAAAATGGATATTTGTCCAAATCCGTTCTATTTGGACTGAGAATAGATTATATGTATTGGAGGTGGACGTATCTGAGAATATCAATATAAACCCGTACGGGTATGAAGACGAGAATGGATTTATCCTTATCTCCGCCTCTGCTATCCGTTTTATATATATATATATATACTCTCAAGCTCTAACTAAATATATTTACTGTAACTACCAATCTAGAAATATGATAATTAAACTAACAAGTGACATTGCTATGTGATAATTTTATTAACTTTATTTTTTGATTGTTTTTTTTTATTTGTGCTCACTGATTGAAACTATTGGGAGTTTGAATTGACTATGCTCTAAAAATAGATCAGAGAGAGTAAGATAGTTTTGCATTTCATCGTGGGTAGAAATATTGTGAATGAAAGTTGATAAGTTTTTCTACTAGAGTAAACTAAGAAATGAGGAGTATTATTGAATTAACGAAATTTTAAGTTTTTATTTTTTAACACTTTATGACTGTAATATGAATTGTAATAACAAAAATTCTTCTAGGAAATTTCAAGTGTAGTGCTATCATTTTCTTAGTTCAATTTTATTTTCTTTTTCTTTCTTTCTCTCTAATAGTTTCGTTTATCTTTTTGTGGTCCAATAACACTTTAAATATAATACTATATTGTTTTGGCTTTTACATTTTACTATGTACATTATGTTGTATTAAATTATGTTAGATTATTTAGAATGTTGTTGGATTATTTAAAATATTGGATTTATTTAAAATTTTAGATTATGTTACTTGAGTTTGAATTTAGGCTTTGGGTTTGACCTTGGACTTGGGCTTGGGCTTAGGTGGGTACGAGGATTAGAAATTTACCCGTAGATGGGGATAAGGATAAAAACAATACCTGTTAACGGGAGTGGACCGGGGATGGACGAATTTTTTTTAAATCGGTACGAGAATGAAGACTACACTCCCCGCCCCTGTTTCGGTCCACTGACAGCCCTACCTGTAGATCAAATCTCGTCTCACAGCTGGGAATTAGAGGTGTCTATGGGCTGGGTTATTCACGGGTTTCGTTATCCCGTTTGAAAAAATAGGTCTGAAACCCGATAGGCCGATAGTTGGCTTGCCCCAGCTCGAGTTCAATATCCTTAAAAAGAGGGCTTAGGNATATATATATATATATACTCTCAAGCTCTAACTAAATATATTTACTGTAACTACCAATCTAGAAATATGATAATTAAACTAACAAGTGACATTGCTATGTGATAATTTTATTAACTTTATTTTTTGATTGTTTTTTTTTATTTGTGCTCACTGATTGAAACTATTGGGAGTTTGAATTGACTATGCTCTAAAAATAGATCAGAGAGAGTAAGATAGTTTTGCATTTCATCGTGGGTAGAAATATTGTGAATGAAAGTTGATAAGTTTTTCTACTAGAGTAAACTAAGAAATGAGGAGTATTATTGAATTAACGAAATTTTAAGTTTTTATTTTTTAACACTTTATGACTGTAATATGAATTGTAATAACAAAAATTCTTCTAGGAAATTTCAAGTGTAGTGCTATCATTTTCTTAGTTCAATTTTATTTTCTTTTTCTTTCTTTCTCTCTAATAGTTTCGTTTATCTTTTTGTGGTCCAATAACACTTTAAATATAATACTATATTGTTTTGGCTTTTACATTTTACTATGTACATTATGTTGTATTAAATTATGTTAGATTATTTAGAATGTTGTTGGATTATTTAAAATATTGGATTTATTTAAAATTTTAGATTATGTTACTTGAGTTTGAATTTAGGCTTTGGGTTTGACCTTGGACTTGGGCTTGGGCTTAGGTGGGTACGAGGATTAGAAATTTACCCGTAGATGGGGATAAGGATAAAAACAATACCTGTTAACGGGAGTGGACCGGGGATGGACGAATTTTTTTTAAATCGGTACGAGAATGAAGACTACACTCCCCGCCCCTGTTTCGGTCCACTGACAGCCCTACCTGTAGATCAAATCTCGTCTCACAGCTGGGAATTAGAGGTGTCTATGGGCTGGGTTATTCACGGGTTTCGTTATCCCGTTTGAAAAAATAGGTCTGAAACCCGATAGGCCGATAGTTGGCTTGCCCCAGCTCGAGTTCAATATCCTTAAAAAGAGGGCTTAGGTTTGTCTCAAACCCTTTATCCAAACCCAATAGGCCGTCCAAAAAAAGCTTGTTAAAACCCGCCCCAATAACTTGTCCAAAAAAACTTGTTAAAATCCGGCCCAAGAACCCGCCAACCAAACCCAGCCTGTCCACTATTCCTTTGAAAACAAGTTGTATTTTTAGACTATTAAATTTGAAAACATTAAAATAAGTCTCATAAGGTTGAAATTTGAAGCTTTAAATTTTTTTTTCTTTATTATTGACCACTCATCACATCTCGAAGCTTTAAAAATTTAGATATTATAAATAATGTATTATTTTTTTTTTAATGTATTATGCATATAAGTTTTAAACGATAGAGTAATGCAAATGATAGATAACTGAGTATGTGTCAATTTAGTTGAGATGTCNAGTTAAGTTTGATTTTATTTATAAGAGTTCAGATCAGCATGAGTCTCCTTGTATCGCCCCAGCATGTACGTTTCACTTGTAATTGGAGGATACCTGGCAAAGGAAAAACAGCCTCAACATCTACAGGGTGGGACCATTTTTGTGTGCGTGTGGGGGTTGGGGGCTCTTAAGTAGAGTNAATGTATTATTTTTTTTTTAATGTATTATGCATATAAGTTTTAAACGATAGAGTAATGCAAATGATAGATAACTGAGTATGTGTCAATTTAGTTGAGATGTCTTCATTCTATTGGATGTAGTTCATCCCCTAATCAAAAATAAAATTATTTATTATTTTATTTTTATTTATTTTGACTCTACTTTTGATTCAAAAATATAATTTACACAAATATTAAATTATAAAAATATTAACTATTTTTAAATGAAGTTGTATATAAAAAAAGTCCACGAGAAGGCCTGCTCAATAGGCTCATGGGTTTGGGTTGTGCGTCGTCTACCTTTACTCGAAGCTTGGTCCTCATTTCGGTACCTCTATTGAGAATGTTGGGAAGGGCTGACAATTCTTACCAAGTTCCATATCAACTAATTACAGCCAAGTTTGTGGCTACGAGTGTGTTAAAAAGGTTCGAATGGAGATCAAGTTGATTAGTTAAACTCATTTAATAAACCAGTTATATCGAAATAACACAGAAGTGATTAAACACAAATATAAAATGGATGCATTATTAATTATTATCACATTCTCATTATTAAAGATGCATTATTAATTATTATTATTTTTTTGTGTGTGAGATATTTGAGTGTTTAATATTATTTTAAGATCCTACAAAGAAATTCACGGTTATTAATCTTGAAAGTTTTTTGTGTTATAACAGACTGATGAAATACTTTATGGCAGCCTATGAAACTAATTTTACTTCTAAAACTAACATAAAATTACGCTTAAAAATACTCAACTTTCGTGGGTGGGGCTTTGATAAATTAATCGTGTCTCTTTCTTGCAAATGATGCTGCTTTTCAATTTTATGGGGTCTATTAAATATTGATAACTACTTCCTTTTTAAATTCTAAAATAATCTCTACATTCCCACCATAACAAGGGTTATAACTATTCTTAAATTTGAACATGCCCCATCGATTGTCTATACATTCACTTTTGATAAAATGAATTTGATAAGACAATTTTTCTTAGTTAACTTGTTCATTGGACGTGTGTCATTAGTCGCTTATTCACCAAAAATGTATAATTTGGTCCAAACAAACCTATAAGTAATAAGTTCATCAATAATATATTAGAACACTTTTAACTTTTTTTTTTTGAACTAGCCACAAAAAACTCTTTTTTTTTTTTTTTTATTGATATAAAATTTTCACATATATAATACCCAACAACGTGTTTGCAAAAATACTATTATCATGTCGGTATCAGACTACTTATCAAATTCTTTTTTAAAAATAAAAACTTAACGTATTTATCGTCTCTTTTCTCCGAATATTAATGATTCTATCATACTCTACAAGATTTTTGGAGAATCAACTTAAATTCTTCTCTTTTTAAAAAAAAATTATTTTTGGATAACTGTGGGTCTCATCATTTATTAAGACCCACTATTTATTCAATAGTTGTGATGAAAATAGTCAGCATGACGCGTATCTCGATTAATCCGTATCTCGATTAATCCTCTCTCTAATTTGGTCAAAGACAGGTTATCTACGCCGAGATTAGAGTATTTATGAGGGATAAATTCCTAATGGTCCAACCTCAAAAGATTACAAAAATTTAAACTCAAAAGATCTGAATTTACAACTCATATCTGTTAACACTTATGCTACTATTTGGATTGTATTTTTGTTTTTTTCACATGGAAGGAATTGACTTTCCAACAAAATGATATTTTTCCAGGCAGTTGGTTGCTTCGTGCCTGTTTCCTCTGAATTTCATTACATCTTAGTTTGGAGATTTTTTAGCA